CATACTTTATTTTGAAAAGGTTTCCGTAGCTGGTATTTAGGAATAACTTGTAGAGGGGAGTACAAGTGGAGACCAGTGAGGAGCCTATGGCAGGAGTCTAGGGTAGGGATGCTGATGGATTCACTAGGTGACAGTGGTGGGAGTGGAGACATGTGATGGATTTGAGATATATTTTGGGGGCAGAGCTGACTGGACCTGGTGACAGATTGGATGAAGGAATTATGATGAAGAAAGGAATTAAGTTTTTGTTCTGAGAAATTAGATGGCAGTATTATTTGTTGTGATGGGAAAGGCTGAATAAGAAATAGGTGTTTAGGAGAAAATTGGGAGCTTAAGTTTTGACACATTAAAAGTTGTACATGAATATGCATAGCAGCATTATTTATAACCAAAATTTGGAAATATCCTAAATGTCTGTTAACTGATGACTAAAGAAGCAAAATGTGGTACATTCATATAATGGAATGCTCTCTGGAAATAAAAAAGAGAATGAAACACTGATACCTGCTACAACATGGATGAACATTGCAAATATTGGGTTAAGAGAAGAAATCCAGGTATAAAAGGCCACATACAATATGATTTAATTTATGTGAAATGTCCAGAATAGAAAAACCCATAGAGAAAGAACTTAGTGGTTGGAAATTGGGAGTGACTTTTAGTAATTATGGAGTTTCTTTTTGGGGTGATAAAAATGTTTTCAAATTGGATAATGGTGATGATCACATACAATTCCATACATATACTAAAACACGCTGAATTGTGCACTTTTGGGTAATTTTTTAAAATATGTGAATTATTAATGTATCTCAATAAAAGTATTATTTTTTAAAAATGGTATGGCATGCTGTTTTGGTCTGTCTTCTCCAGAAAGCAGTTTTGGGTGAAGGGCTCATGTATAATTTCTTTCTTAGGGATCAGGAGTGAGAGGCCCGGGGGGGGGGGGACACGGGGAGGTGGAGAGCTCATGTGAGGATGCCTCGTTCAGTTGACCTCCGCTAAGTACAACTATGTGCTTGATTCCATGGGACAACTCCCCAAGAACATGTCTAATCTTCTTAGGATAGTCTCAAAAACGCACGTCCATGGAGAAAAGAAGAGACAATATCCAGACATCCATCTCTCTTTGGTCAAAGGTCTGCCCTGCAGGGCATTAACTTTCCCACACTTCTGGATTTTACGAGCATGGGCACCAAACAGGCTCCTCAGTGTCTTTTCTAGATGTTAAAGGTGAAGTCCTTGGGTAGGAGTTAGAGGATGTGTGGTGAGGGACTGAGATAAGGCACCATCATTATGGACCTGTTGAGGTGGGTTAGAATTTGCAAAATGATTCCTATAGGGGCAGCTGCGTAAGAGCCAGGAGATGCTGAGAGGCTGTGAAATGACATAAAATCTATGCATGATAAAGATGCCCATTAAATATCCAAGTGAACGTGCCAAGTAGACTCCTTCTTCTTTATTTTTTCCTTATAAATACTGTTATGTTGGTTCATTTTCTCTAAAGAGAATATACACATTCATATAAGTCAAATAAAATTTGACATTAGAACTAATCTCTTCCCCTCCCCCAGATCAAATGGCATTGAGGGGTTTCCTTTGTAAAACTAATATTTATAGCAACTTTCCCCCTTAATTAGATTATATGGTGACTAGGAGGATTTGGAGGAAAGAATAGAAAGGAAAAACTAAATTATCTACTAATATAAAACTAAGTGCAGATTAATAGTGAATGAATTGCACAAAGAACCCACAGAACTTATATATTTAAATTTGTTCAGTATCAGAATTATCACAACTATTTCAAATTATGTTATGTAAAGTCCTAAAAACTTTTTATTTCTGTTTTCATCCTATTATCCAATATTTTGGAATATGGGTTAAAATCTGTTAAAATTATTTTAGTCCATGTGAGGAACACAAACTCTCTGTGGAAGTCATTGACATTCTGTGACTTTTTGGGTTTTCTCCCTCCAGGTGTGTGGTAGGATTGCTCTTCACAGCCCGTGAAGTTAGATGTGGCAGTGAAACTTGCTTTAGGAAATGAGAAGAGTGTGCAAATGATCCATGACATTTAGCCAGAGCCTTTGAGAACAAGCATGTGATTTGTCACATTCTCTTCCCCTGTCTGTGATATTTCAGGTAATCAATGCCCTGTCAGTTTAAGTCTTTGAATGAGAATGACTGCATTCAAGACACCCCCCAGTTCAAGAGGGATATGGTGTGTAAACATGAAATAAATCTCTGATCTTGCAAAACACAGAAATTTGGGGTTGTCTGTTAGAGTGCCAAAAACTAGCCTTTCCTGACTGATATGTTCCTTAAGAAAATAACGCAGTGAATTGTAGATCTGAGGCACTTTATAAGCTGAAGCCCTTTAAGTATTAATGGCCTATCAAAGGCAGTATAGTAAAGTAGTTATAAGCATGGATTTGGGGGTAGATGGTGTGGGTTTGAAGCTTGATTCTGCTCACTATTAACCATGTGATCTTGGCAAATTACCTAAACTCTCTGGGCTCAATTTCCTTATAAAAAATCATAATACCCACATCATAAGATCATTATAAAAATTAAATGAGTTAACATTTGTCAAGTGCTTGAAATAGTACACAGTAAGTCTTTTTACTGTGTATATGTAAAAATATATAATTAAATAGTATGTGTAAATTGTTTAGAACAGAGCCTTGCACAGAGTAAGCCCTCCATGGATATTTAAAAAATAAATATAATTATTGAATAACCATCAAATACTTGGCTGATCATTTTCTCCAGGAAAGTCTAATAGGAGATAGGAAAATTAAAAAATGCAATGAGAAAATATAATTTTCTCTTCTGATCTTGGGTAACAAAACCCACAGGCCACTTGGGTGGGTTTTACCTCTGGAAATATGCCTGGACACAATGCTTTTGACTTTCCCTTTCTAATCAGGTGTGTCCTAAGACAAGAAGCAGAGAGCCCAGGGAAATGGAAAAATGACAGACTAAGGCTTTTTCTTTAATTATCTCTATCATCCAGAGTAAAAGGAAATAGGTCACCTGTGACTGAAGCTGAACATTCCTGCCAATCAGAGATAAGCAGCTCATGGCAATTTCACAGAGCCAAGGAAAGACAATTTTCTTGAAATCTCATGAAATAATGGTCCTGGAATTTATCAGGATGACTTATTCATGAGAATCACTGAGATACTCATTAAAAATATAGATTCCCAGAATCTCACGGTGGTGGTGGGAGAGGAGAGCTCCTGGAATTCTGAATTTCAAACAAGTTTTTCAGGCGATTCTTTTCCTGCTTAGAGTTGAGGACCCCAAACCCAGCCCTGTATGTAGTTCATACTGCGTAACTGAAATACCACTGCCACCTGGTGGCAGCATATCCAAATTACAGGTTTCAGTGTCATGTGGCAGAATCAGCACAGTTCTATTTTTCAAGTAGTCAGTCTATAGTCACATTTAATTCTTAGTCACCTTTGCCTTCTCCTACTCATAAACATATTTTGAGTTTTCCAGATTATCTGATGTGCAGTTTATATCATTTGCACTCTTGAGGACATAGTATTTTACCATTTTAATTCATTCAAACTGAATTTGAAAATAGACCTTATTTTTTAATTCTCTCTGAATATAAACTCTCATGACATGTTAATTAATTTGTAGAATAAAAGAAACCATATACACTTATAAAATGTTCTGCAAGAAGATCTTTTGTCAGAGAATCTGAGAGAGGCAGAATCTTAACAAAGAGAGAGATGTTCTGATGAGAATAATTAGCTTTGCCTATATTATCCATTAAGGGGAGAATAAACAAAAGAAATTGTATTCAGGAAGTTTTTTCCTGCTACTTCTAAGTAATATCAAATCTTATTCACATATAAAAAAGATTATCTGTTAAACATTTGAATTGGCATAGATTTAGCTTTGCTGAGCTCAAATTCTTCCTGATTTACCTTCATCATAAGACATAGTCCTATAGGGAAGAGTGGAAGCAGAAAGAAGTGCTGAATACTTAAATATAACTGGTATTTCATGATGGATCATGGCATTCAGGTGTGTTTTACTAGGTCAGTAAGAACAAAACATGGTATAACATGACTTTGAAATTGGGCGTCATTCACTTAGCACCAGTGTGGCAAACCCATAGCAAGACAATTTGGCAATGTTCAAGATGATTTACAATGAAAGATTGTATGTTCTCCATGAAAAGTAAAATATATGTTGACAAAGAGGATGCTCATAAATAAAATAGATGAAAATTACTGGTAAGTTATCCCCAGCCAACTTATTGCTTGATGACTTTGCAGCCTGTGTAAAAAATGAGTTTGGATGGATTTATGTAGTAAGGCTTTTTAGAATTAAAAGAAATTATTGAGGCAAAATATATATAACATAAAGTGAGCCAATTTAAAGTGAGCAATTCAGTGGTGTTTAGTACATTCAAATGAATCATAAGCAATATTTCTATCTAGTTCTAAATGATTTTCTTCACCCCTAAAGAAAACTCTGTACCCATTAATTAGTTGGTATACCATTGTTTATAAATGGCATACGGAGTGACTTTCAAGAGGCCATAGAATTTCAGTTAATGTGTTAAATTGATATCTAAAAGACCTCAATATATGGCTTTGTATTGACTTAAAGTGTTCACATACTTGCCAAAGCTTTTTTTGTCTAGCTAGGTCAGTTGGGAGGAATTTATAATCAGAGGATTCAAAGAGTTTCAAATGATGCAATCAGCACAGTAGTTAAACTATGGGACAGTGATGAAAAAAACTCAACTGCGTGTCATGTATGGTCATTAGCTTTGAAGATGGGACCCAGAAAAGCCAACAAAAATGTGGGCAATGAGTCTGTGGGTTCCTTTATAAGCGTTTTACTAGAAAATAATGCGATTACTTATGCAAATCTGTGGGAAGATGTTTAGACAGGCGTGTTTTGCCCACCAGCTTGGGGTATAAAAAGCCCTGTGCAGGAGGAGACCTTCATTCACACTTTGCTCTTCACAATCTATCCAAATCCTTCTCAACTCCTGCCACCATGACTCGTTTCTTCTGCTGTGGAAGCTACTTCCCAGGCTACCCTGCCTATGGAACCAACTTCCACAGGACCTTCAGAGCCACCCCCCTGAACTGTGTCGTGCCTCTGGGCTCTCCCCTGAACTATGGTCTTGGATGCAATGGCTACAGCTCCCTGGGCTACAGCTTTGGTGGTAGCAACTTCAACGACTTGTGTGGTTGCTATGGTGGCAGCTTTTACAGGCCATGGGGCTCTGGCTCTGGCTTCGGCTACAGCACCTACTGATGGACCAATGGCTCCAGCGACTACAGGACTCCCAATCAGTTCTCTGTGCACAGAACAACCTGAAGAGCAATGATTGTCTTCCTGCCTCCCAGTGTGCTTGGGTGACATGTCTTCTGTCTTCTTGCTGACTTCTTGCTGTGGTCCTTGTCTTCCATGATTCTGGGCAAGTCACCTTGGACCAAAATGCTGAACTGATGATAGCCATCTACAGCCAAAGGAAGCAAGATATATATATTTATCATCCCTGAATCATAGCAGTGAAGCAAGTTGTCTCCCAAGGTTGCTCTGCTCATGTCTTATTAACTTCTACCCATCATCAGTGTATTATGAATTGGGCATGGGGAGGAAGGGGTTTTACTGGTAGTCTCCTAATAAATTTATTTCATTCAGCATCAATACTCTTGTTCTGGTTATTTATTTTACTGATCTTTTATGCTCCTGAATTTATCAACCTGTATTGGTTGACTTTAATTAAATTTTATTCTGATTTCAGCCTGTACAATCAGGATAGGGTAATGCCCAAACATTTTTATTTTTATATTAAAAAAATTTATTTTTATTTCAGGATATTAGGAGGCTACAAACATTTTGGTTACATTTTATGACTTTGCCTCACCCAAGCAAGGATTAGAGGCATGCCCTTCCCTTCTAACAATGTTCACCGCATCTTAGTTGTGAGTTTACCACCCTGACCTCCTAATCCCTGGAGAATATTACTACAATGTGAGCACCATAATGTTGGCCAGTTAGTGCCAATTTTATGGTGAGTACATGTGGAACCTATTCTTTCATTCTTGTGATACCTCACTTTGGAGGATGGGCTCAAGCTCTATCCATGAAAACATAAGAGGTGCTAGATCACCGTCATTTCTTATAATTGAGTAATATTCCATTGTAAACATATACCAAATTTTAATAATCCACTCATGAATTGATGGGCACTTGGGTTGTTTCCACATCCTTGCAATAGTTAATTGTGCTGCTATAAGTATTTGGGTGCAGATGTCTTTATTATAGAATGTCTTTTGGGTAGATGCCTAATAGTGCAATGCTGGATCAAATGGTATTTCTATTTTTAGCTCTTTGAGGTATCTCTAAATTCTTTTGCACAGAGATTGCATTAATTTGCAGCCCCACCAGCAGTGTAAGAGTGTTCCTGTCTCTCTACATCCTTGCCAGCATTTGTTGTTTTGGGATTTTTTGACAGAGACCAATCTCACTGGGGTTAGGTGATATCTCATTGTAGTTTTGATTTGCATTTCTCTAATGGTGAGAGATGTTGAGCATTTTTTTTATATGTTTGCTGGCCATTATTCTGTCTTCTTTGGAAAAGTTTCTGTCCATTTCCTTTGCCCATTTATTGATAGGGTTGTTTGATTTTTTCTTGTTGATTTTTTTTTTTGAATTCTAGATAGATTTTTATTATCAGACCTTTATCGGATGTGTAGAGAGCAAATATTTTCTCCTCCCATTCTGTGGGTTGCCTATTCACCCTAATGATAGTTTCCTTGGCTGTGTAAAAGTTTTTGAATTTGATCAGATCCCATTTATTTATTTTGGTTGATATTTAAGTTTAAAAAACTTTCTAGAAATGGCCCAAATTTAACCTGAATATACTGCAATTGTTGGTGTTTCTCTATGGCTGATTATAAACAAGAACACTTCTTAGCTGTGGAATGCTAAAAAAAATTCCCATCTCCTTTTATTAGTGACATAATTCCATTTTTGGTTTATTTCTTCTTTCCTAGTGTTATAGAACTCTCCTCTGGTGAGATTTGAACCCCACAGATTGTTGGAAGAATTGTAACTAGACTTACCTATGAAACCCTAGCTTTAGAAATTCCTAAGATTTGGTCAATAAAGGGAAGCCACCTGCTAAAATCACATAGCATTTTTTCTCTTTTTTGATGGATGGATTTTATTTTCCCCACCTTCTTCACCTCTGATCACACATATAAGTACTACTAAAAATGAAGCATTTATTCTTTGGAATGATAGTTGCCATCAAAAGCACTTGAAATGATATGTGGTCTGCACTTAGAAAATGGTCTTTGTCTTGCTTGCTGAGAAATCTTTGCTTTATTGAAGCAAAGTGCTTTATGTTTGAATTAAAGCTCATTTATTCATATATCAAGTATTTATTGTATCCTTGCCACAGAAAAGGTGCTCGATCAATTGTTCATTGATTTGACTTGTTAAATCTCTGCTTTATGGATGAAAAATATTGCATTGTCCAGTATAAAGTTCATTCTTCATGCATCAAGATTATTGGACTCTGGCTGCTGTATTAAGAATTTTGTGGCTGTAAACACACCTCAGCATAGACTCTGGCCTGAAAGGCTGACTGTCTTCAAGAGGGGATTTATTCATTTTACAGAGACTTACCACATAACTACAAGACCAAACATTTTCCTAAGATTTGGGGACACGAACCTTAGAGATGAATAAAACACAATCTTATTCCTCAAGAGTTAAGTAAACTTTATTTAATATTTAAAAGACATTTTATAGTCTCCTACAATATCCTAATTAATGTGCTATAAATGGTTATCCAAAGAGAGATAGATATTCCTCTCTCATTTCCTTCCCAGGACTTGAAATAGGAACCAGCCTGTGATAACACACACACACACACACACACACACACACACACACACACACACACACACACAGCGTTTTAGGCTTGCATAGAAGGCTAGTTTGAGTAGACAAACGTGATCATGAGAGGGAGAAAGAGTTACATATCAAGACAGATATGATTATGCAAAAGGAGAAAAGAATGGAGCTATCTGAAGATGAAATGTGTGATCACTTACAGCATGTATGTATATAGTGTGTGCATATTTATATTTATGTATGGATGTGTGTGTGTATATCCACCTAAGAGTAAATTTCAGGTATCATGTCATCTACCTTAAGAACAAAGGCAATAGAATTAGAACAATCAGAAATTTAATATTGATATAATACTATTATCTAATCCACAGTGTGTACTCAAATTTAGTCAATTCTCCCATTTATGTCTCTTATAGTTATTTTTTCCCCTTAGTTCAGGATCTAATCCAGTATGATATATCGCTTTAATCTCCTTATGTTCTTTTTATACCTAGTTTTTTGAGAGTTTTCATAATGAAGGGATGTTGAATTTTATCAAGTGATTTTTCAGCATCAATTGAAATGATCCTATGGTTTTTGTCCTTCATTCTATTGACATGATGTATCACATTGACTGATTTGCAGATGTTGTACCATCCTTGCATCCCTAGGATGAATCCCATTTGATCATGATGAATACTCTTTTTAATCTGTTGTTGAATTCTGTTTATATATTTTGTTGAGGATAGTTGCAGATATATTGACCTAGAGTTTTCTGTTTTTGTTGTGTCTTTCTCTGGTTTTGGTATTGGTGATACAGACCTCATAGAATGAATTTGGGAGTATTCCCTCCTCCTCCATTTTATGGAATAGTTTAAGTAAGATTTGTATTAGTTCTTCTCTGAATGTTTGGTAGAATTCAGCAGTGAAGTCATTGAGTCCTGGATTTTTCTTTGATGGGAGACTTTTTATTACTGCATCTGTCTTGTTATTTCCTTCTGATTTATTGAGGTTTTGGATTTCTTCCTAGTTCGATCTTGGTAGGCTATGTGTGTCTAGAAATTTATCTATTTCTTTATTGGAAATTATACAAACACATGGAAGTTGCTCATAGTAGTCTCTAATGATCCTTGAAATTTCTGCAGTGCCAATTGTAATGCTTCCTTTTTCATCTCTGATTTTATGTATTTGTGTTTTCTCTGTTCATTTTTTTTTCTTAATTTGGCAAAAGGTTTGTCAATTTTCTTAATCTTTTCAAAAATTCAACATTTGGTTCATTCATCTTTTATAATTTTTTGTTTCAGTTTCATTTATTTATGCTCTGATCTTTATTGTTTCTTTTCTTCTACTCATTTTTGGGTTTGGTTTGCTTTTATTTTTGAAATTCTTTATGAAGCATTGTTAGGTTGTTTATTTGAAGCTTTTCTACTTTTTTGATGTAGGCACATATTGCTGTAAACTTTTCTCTTAGTACTGCTTTTGCTGTATCCCCTAGGTTTTGATGTGTTGTGCTTTAATTTTCATTTGTTTTGTGAAATTTCTTAATTTCCTTCTTAGTCTTTTCATTGACCCATTGGCCATTCAGGAGCATATTGTTTAACTTCCATGTGTTTGTATAATTTCCAGTGTTCTTTTTGTTATTGATTTCTAGTTTTATTCCATTGTGGTCAGAGAAAATACTTGACATGATTTCAATTTTTTTTTGAATTTGTTAAGACTTATTTTGTGGCCTAACATATGGTCTATTTTTGACACTGATCCATATGGTGAGGAGAAGCATGTATACTCTGCACCTTTTGGATGAAACATTCCATAAATATCTATTAGGTCCATTTGGCATATAGTGCAGGTTAAGTCCAGTCTTTGTTTGTTTATTTTCTGTCTGTATGATCTGTCCAATGCTCAAAGTGTGGTGTTGAGGTCTCCAAGGATTATTATATTGGGGTCTATCTCTTTGATTAGCTCTGATAATATTTGTTTTATATATCTTGGTGCTCCAGTAGTGGGTGCATATATATTTAGAATTGTTATATCCTCTTGCTGAATTGACCCCTTTATCATTATATAATGACCTTCTTTGTCTCTTTTTGCAGTTTTTGTCTTGAAAAATATTGTATCTGATTAGCAGAATAGCTACTCCTGCTTTCTTTTGGTTTCCATTTGGATGGAATATCTTTTTTCTATCCCTGTATTTGTAGTCTATGAATATCTTTATAGGTGATGTGGGTTTCTTATAGACAACATGTAGTTGGGTCTTGTTTGTTTATGCATTCAGTCACTGTATGTCATTTGATTGGAGAGTTTAGTCTATTTACATTCAATGTTGTTATTGATAGGTAAGGACTTACTACTGCCATGTTATTTGATTTCTGGTTATTTTGTGGTCCTCTATTTCTTCCTTCCTTCTTTCCTTTCCTCCTTTCTGTCTTCCTTTGTGGAAAAATGATTTTATTTGGTAGTATGTTTTAATTTCTTGCTTTTTATTTTTTGCATATATATTTGTAGGTTTTTTTGATTTTAGGTTCCCATTAGTCTTGCAAAAACATTTTATAAATAATTATTTTAAACAATGACAACGTAACTCTGCTTATAAACAAACAAATGAACAAGCAAAGAGAAATCTAAAAGAAACTCTACACTTTAACTTCCCCCTTCCTCCTCCCACTTTTGGACTCTTTGTTATTTCAATTTATATCTTTTTATACTATCTCTCAAAAAGTTGTTGTAGTATTATTATTTTTATAGGTTTGTCTTTTAGTCTTCCTACTCAAGATATAAGTGGTTTACACACCATAATT